TTAATAATAAAACATTTTAGAGTAAGGGGTAACTAAAACTACCATTCTCATTTTGGGTGGGGCACATCAGAATCTCGTGGCTGATTTCTTCACCATATACATGGACCTGCTGTATTAGAACTGGGATGTAGTATGGACCATCTAGGCTAGAAAATCTCCACTGGTGATCCTGATGCCTCTTTCCTGCCAATACCTTTAAACCACTGATAGCTTTCACAGGCCTCCAAGACTAAAACCAAACTCTATAGCAAGATATACAGGTTCATCTGGGCTAAATCCTTACCTTTCCTATCTGCCACTAGCTCCAGCTTCTCTTGCTTTTACCTCCCCTAGCCTGCCCCATACGGACTTCAGTTCCTACGAGTTGCAGCATGTAAGAGGAAATAGCTAACTTACCATGAGTAACTCCTCTCTTAATCACACTGTCTCCTCTGCTGGATCCCCCTTCTGCTGCTAACTTCTAAGTGTTGAGGTACCATTTATGTGCTGACTGCTCCCAACCAGGTCTCAACACCACAATCCATACCCAACTGCCTACCGGACAGATATCTCCCCTTGGGTAGCTAATAGGCTTCTCAAACTATTGCCATTTTGGAACCCTGATATCCTGCTGATCTTGTTCCTAAGCCTTCCCTGTCTCAGAAACCACCTGGTTGTTCAAGTCAAAACTCTAGGGATCATCCTTGTTCCTCCTTTTCTCACATCCTGAGCATCCAAATCACTGACAAGCTTTGCTGTTTCAACCTCCAAAATGTATCTCAAATCTTTCCCTTTCTTTCTATTTCCACTGTACCATTCTGGACCATTACAATAGCATCTTTCCTAGGCTCTTCTTTCTGAATTATTAACCAGATCAACATCAGTTACCTGTTTCTCCCCTACACATACACACACACACACACATACACACACACACCCTGAGGAATTCTACCAGACATTTAAATCAGAGTTAATGCCCATTCTTCTCAAGCTGCTCCACAGAAATAGAAGGAAAACTTTCTGATTCATTCTATGCAGCCAGCATCACTTTGATTCCCAAACCAGACAGAGAGCCAGCAAAAAAAGAGAACTACAGGCCAATATCCCTGATGCATACAGATGCAAAAATCCTCAACAAGATACTAGCAAATCAAATTCAAAAGCATATAAAAAGAATTATCCACCATAATCAAGTGGGATTCATTCCTGGGTTACAGAGCTGGTTCAATATTTGAAAATCAATCAATGTGATACATCACATAAACAAAAGATGAAAAGCATATGATCCTGTCAATAGATGCAGAAAAAGCATTTGACAAAATACAGCATCCTTTCTTAGTAAAAACCCTTGAGAAAGTCGGGATAGAAGGAACTTACTTAAACATTATAAAAGCCATTTTTGAAAAGCCGACAGCTAATATCATCCTCAATGGGGGAAAACTGAGAGCTTTCCCCCTGAGATCAGGAACACGACAAGGATATCCACTTTCAGCACTGTTGTTTAACATAGTGCTGGAAGTCCTAGAATCAGCCATCAGACAACAAAAAGAAACAAAAGGCATCAGAATTGGCAAAGATGAAGTCAAACTTTCGCTTTTCACAGATGACATGATACTCTACATGGAAAACCCAACAGATTCCACCAAAAGTCTGCTAGAACTGATCCATGAATTCAGCAAAGTTTCAGGGTACAAAATCAACATGTAGAAATCACTTGCATTTTTATGCACTAATAATGAAGCCACAGAAAGAGAAATCAAGAAACTGGTCCCGTTCACAACTGCACCAAAAACCACAAAATACCTAAGAATAAACCTAACCAAAGATATAAAAGATCTGTATGATGAAAACACAGAAAACTTATGAAGGAAACTGAAGAAGACACAAAGAAATGGAAAAACATCCCGTGCTCATGGATTAGAAGAAAAAATGTTGTTAAAATGTCAATACTTCCCAAAGCAATCTACACATTCGATGCACTCCCAATCAAAATTGCACCAGCATTCTTCTCAAAGCTAGAACAATCAATCCTAAAACTTGTATGAAGCCACAAAAGACCTCGAATAGCCAAAGTAATATTGAGGAAGAAAACTAAAATGGGAGGCCTCACAATCAAGACTTTAGCCTCTACTAAAAAGCTGTAATCATCAAGACAGTATGGCATTGGCACAAAAACAGGCACATAGACCAGTGGAATAGAACAGAGAACCCAGAATTGGACCCACAAATGTATGACCAATTAATCTTTGACAAAGCAGGAAAGAATATCCAAAGGAAAAAAGACAGCCTCTTTAACAGATGGTGCTGGGAGAACTGGACAGCAATATGCAAAAGAATGAAATTGGACCACTTTCTTACACCATACACCAAAATAAACTCAAAATGGATAGAGGACCTGAACGTGAGACAGGAAACCACCAAAACCCTAGAGGAGAAAGCAGGAAACCACCTCTTTGACCTCAGCCGCAGCAATTTCTTACTCAACAGATCTCCAAAGGCAAGGGAATCAAAAGCAAAAATGAACTATTGGGACCTAATTAAGATAAAAAGCTTCTGCACTGCAAAGGAAACAATCAACAAAACTAACAGGCCACCAATGGAATGGGAAAAGATAGTTGCAAATGACATATTGAACAAAGGGCTAGTATCCAAAATCTATAAGGAACTCACCAAACCCCACACCCAAAAAACAAATAATCCAGTGAAGAAATGGGCAGATGAACAGACATTTCTCCAAAGAGGACATCCAGAGGGCCAACAGACACATGAAACTATGCTCAGCATCATTCATCATCAGGGAAATGCAGATCAAAGTCAAACTGAGATACCACCTCACGCCAGTCAGAGTGGCTAAAATGAACAAATCAGGAGACTCTAGATGCTGGTGAGGATGTGGAGACACGGGCACCCTCCTACACTGTTGGTGGGAATGTAAACTGGTGCAGCCCTTCTGGAAAACAGTGTGGAGGTTCCTCAAAAAATTAACAATAGAGCTCCCCTATGACCCAGAAATAGCACTGCTAGGAATTTACCCAAGGGATACAGGAGTGCTGATGCATAGGGGCACATGTAACCCAATGTTCACAGCAGCACTTTCAACAATAGCCAAACAATTTCAAATCATGGAAAGAGCCTAAGTGTCCATTAACTGACAAATGGATCAAGAAGATGTGCTTTATCTATACAATGGAATCCTACATGGCAATGAGAAAGAATGAAACCTGGCCATTGTAGCAACGTGGATGGAACTTGAGGGTATTATGCTGAGTGAAATAAGTCAGGCAGAGAAAGACAGATACCATATGTTTTCACTCATATGTGGAACAGGAAAAACTTAACAGAGGACCATAGGGGAAGGAAAGGGGAAAAAATAGTTAAGGAGAGGGAGGAAGACAAACCATAAGAGGCTCTTAAATATAGAGAACAAACTGAAGGTTGATGGGGGTGGAGGGGTAGGAGAGAAGGGAAAATGGGTAATGGGCATGGAGGAGGGCACTTGTTGGGATGAGCACTGGGTGTTATATGGAAACCAACTTGACAATAAACTATATTAAAAAAAATAAAATTCCAGCTTAAAGACTAAGCCAGACCAAAAAAAAAAAAAAAAAAATAGTTACTGGTTTTAAACCTTCCAGTGGCTCCCCCTTACTGCTCTCTCATATAAAATCCAATTTTTTTTTTACCCTAGGGTAGGAGGACCTGCATGATACGACGCCTGCCAGCTTTCCAACCTTGTTCAGCAGGGAGGGCACTTACAATCACCTCCCAGGGGGCATCTATGTAGCCCAGCACCAAGAATAGAAGCTTCCCACCCCTGTGTCCTTGGGAAGCAGCTTTCTGTTTTTAACAAGACACAAAATTCGAACAAATGGAATTGACACCTGGCCAGTCCCAGGTGGGAATGGGAAGGTATCTTAGCTACAACACAAAAGGCCTTCCTTTTCTGTCTATCTCACAACAATGCCTACCAATTCCTTGGGGGATTTCCATTGTAATTTCTCCACCATCTATCCTCACAAACTGCCCACCTAGACCAGATTAAAGAGGTTACACAATCTACACATACACACCACACGCACACACCTAGAAGGAAGCCTAGGCTATTCCCTTGGGGGCACTCCTGCCTCCACAGCCCAGGGGTGGGGGGAGGGCCGGGAATCTGGGCCCCACCAACAGGGAGAATGCAGTGTGGCATTTTAAAACATGTTTATCACAGGCAGATAAGTCTGTGGCAGACTTGGCCTGAGCTCTGGCACATCACTGCAGCCCCTCTAGTCCCTGAGGAGCTTTCTGAATGCATCAGGGTCTCACTAACTCTTCTGCAGTCAGTGGTTTGTTTTTGAAGCCCGGGGATGGTGACACAATTTGCTGTCTTCATAAGAGGACAAAACGCAGTGGCCTCTGGAGAAAATGGAGAAGCTGGGTGACTCTGAATTCTTCACATTCAGAAAAGTGCCCTTATTAATCTAAAATTATAATAAAATGCAAACAGTGCTTTGCAAATAGCAAAAGATCCATGCCCTCTAAATCATTAAAACTGCTTCTTGAAGGAATAGGTGTGATAAAGCCTCCTGTCAACAGTGCCTAAGCACTTCTCTGTGTGCCTGCAATTAAAAATGAATCTGTATTTACTCTAGTTTCTACAAATATTTCCCAGATGCAGAGAAGTAGCAGAGTAAAAGGAGAAGATCAGTTACTACCTACATGCTGTCTCCAGACACACTTGCTGGGGAACTGAGAAGCCACCTGATATAATCTCATACAAACTTGGCAGGTTCACAGACCCGGGTCTGCACTCTGGCTCTGCCACTTATCTGTGTGAGAAGCTCCTTCACTTCTCCAAGCCCCAGTTTCTTGGTCTATAAACTGGGGACATTGCCCCCTCCTTGCAGGGTTGTTACATGAATTTACGGAGCTAATGGAGGTAGAGAGTTTAAGGCCAGCATATGCTGGGTAAAAATGGCTTCCATTATTACATTATTATGCTCATCAGTAGCAGCCATCCTGAGTCTATTACTGACCTCCTGCTGTCCCCCTTCTGGGCTTTCGCCCAATGCTCCACCTGGGCCAGGCTGCTCTTCCTCTGACTGTGCTTTTCAGGGTTGTTCCTGGGAGGAAAGGCCCGCTGATACCCGCCAGTCCCATTCTGCTCTCCTGGGCCATATGTGGTGGGAAGCACCCCATTCTTCTCTGCTCGTTGGGGCTGTGCTTGCTGGCTTCTCAGGCCACCAGGTAAATCCACGAACAAGGCATCCTCTTCAGCTGGTGAATACGGGGACCTGGCCTTGCTCCTGTCCCGCTTGCCCTCCAGTGGGTCCCTCTGGGACTTGTAACGTTCTTCCTCTTGCTCCCGCCTCTCGAAGCCAAAGGAATCCTCATGGCTGCGATGAGGACAATCCCTTGCATGTCCAGGTCCCACACGGCCACACTCTTGACAGGACTCTGCATGATTGGCCTGGGGGACTGCCTGCCGCTCCACCTTCTCCATGTCCCTGCAATGAGAGAGGCATTCAGCCCATTCCAGACACAGCAGTGGCAGCCAAGACACCCCAAAGAACATACTTTATACTCAAATTTCCTCTAGGTCTTGCATGGACTGTTCCCTCTGCCTGGAACATCTTTCACACCTAGCCCTTCATTCCTCCTGCCTGACTTCTAGTCCTTTAGGACTCGAATTTGCAGAATTTAAATTAGGGAGGAAGAAGAACACACCCCAGCCCAGCCAGACCAGAAAATTACCAAGGACCCTTGGGTGGGGCAGCCAGTATCCCTGGAAGAAAGGTCCTGGCCTTGAAGACATGAATAGACACTTTTCCAAAAAAGACATCTAGATGGCTAACAGACACATGAAAAGATGCTCAACATAGCTCATCATCAGGGAAATACAAATATAAACCATGATGAGATACCACCTCATACCTGTCTGTCAGAATGGCTGAAATTAACAACACAAGAAACAACAGGTGTTGATCATGTGGAGAAAGAGGAACCCTTTTTGCACTGTTGGTAGAAATGCAAACTGGTATGACCACTCAGGAGAACAGTATGGAGATTCCTCAAAAAGTTAAATATAGAACTACCCTATGATCCAGCATTTGTACTACTGGGTATTTACCCAAAGGATACAAAAATACATATTCAAAGAGATACATGCACCCTAGTACATAGCAGCATTTTCAATAATAGCCAAACTTTGGAGAGAGCCCAAATATCCATGGACAATGGATGGATAAAGTAAATGTGGTATATATACAATGGAATATTATTCAGCCATCATAAAAGAATGAAATCTTGCCATTTCCAGTGATGTGCATGGAGCTAGAGTGTATGATTCTAAGCAAAATTAGTCAGAGAAAGACAAATGCTTTATGATTTCACTCAGGTGTGGAATTTAAGAAGCAAAACAGATTAACATATGGGAAGGCAGGGAAGGAGAAGAAAGGGAAGCAAACCACAACAGACTCTTAAAGACAGAGAACAAAGTGAGGGTTCCTGGAGGGGAGGTGGGTGGGGGAATGGGTTAAAGGAGTGATGGGGATTAGAGAGGGCACTTGTTGCGATGAGCACTAAGTGTTGTATTTAACTAACAAATCACTGAATTCTACTCCTGAAACCAATTTTACACTGTATGTTAACTAACAAGAATTTAAATAAAAATTTGAAAAAAGAGGGGCACCTGGGTGGTTCAGTCGGTCAAGTGTCCAACTCCTGATTTTGGTTCAGGTCACGATCTCATAGTTGTGAGATGGAGCCCCATGTCAGGCTCCATGCTGGGTGTGAGCCTGCTTCAGATGTTCTCTCTCTCTCTCCCTTTGCCCCTCCCCTACTCGTGTGCTTACACTCTTTCTCTTTTAAAATAAATTAAAAAAAAAAAAAAAAAAGGGAAAGGAAGAAAAGGTCCTGGCCTGGAGATCCATCACTCCTCAAATGACCAACTGAGACGGCTCTCCTATTTCCACATAAAAGCACACAATGGAAATGTTGCTACACTTACATCTTGGTGGCCAGACCCCAGGCATCCTTGCAAAGACCTAACAACCTCAGCTACCAATTATCAGCACGGACTTAGGGCAGAATCGATCCAGTCTGGGGGATAGTTACTTTACACTGACATTTTAACTAAGGAAAGCAATCACAAATCTTACTGCACAGGTACTCTTCTGACTTACCCATGAAAACACAAAGCTTTGTTTAAAAAAAAATCAATTTCAGCATTTCGATTTCCATTTTGGGGACCACCCTCCTCCACTTTCGATCCATGTGGCTTGAGTGCTGCTGAATCTACTAGTCCCTGTCCAGTTGAGGCTCCAAGTCTCAGTAATCAGTTCAGAGGTTGACACATCACCTCTTCCAGGCCAGTCAGGGTTAGTTCTGGGGCTTTGGTTAGAGCTGGTCTCAAGCTGCAAAACTATATGGGAATCAGCTATTTGAGAATGAAACCAATACCAAGGAAAGCAGATGGAGAGAAACAATCCTAAAAATTAAACCTGAGTTCTGAGATTTAACCATACCTAAACCAGATATATCCTTGGATTTTCTGGTTGTGAACCAATAAATTCTCATTCTCACTTAAGCTAGTTTGAGTTTGGTCTCTGTTCTCTCAGTGGAAGAAGTCCTATTACATCACTTTATAATGACATATTTACATTGTGATCTCTGAGGGCTCTTGCATTCCTAATGTTCAGTTGGTCTATAAGCTCCAGTAGTGGGAATATATAGGAAATATTTGGAGACTACCCTTCAAGAAAGCAATTCTTACTCTACGTTCTTTCAGGGACCACTCTGTTCCATAGGGTATATTATAGACTTAAACTCTGTCTTTCCTTTCTTCCTCTAATCTTCCATAACTGCATCGGTGTAACCCCAGCCAGGAGTCTTTGGCCTGCCTGAGTTAGACTTTATCTTCTTTACTGTTTCTCAAACTCAGGAAACCACCCATGCATGCAGGCTTTGCTAAGGCTGCCTCCTAGAGGACTAGAGCTCTGGCCGCCCTCTTGGTCAGACCCCAGGTAAGTCACCAAAGCTTGATAACCTGGTCACTCCAATTGTGAGATCTAAGTAACTGTACCCCCTTGGTATTCCCACCCCAAAGATAAACAGTACTTTATCACAAAAACCAGGCTGCAAAACAAACTTGCCATCTACATGTTATGACATTAGAACCAAAAGGAAAAGGGGTTTTTCTCAACTCCAGAAACCAAAGACTGAGTACGATGCCTCAGCCCAACCAACTATCATGGGGATTTTCCTTTCTTTACCAATCAACTTCCATGTATTCACTGATCAACTATCTATCCCCACTGGGGCAGGCACTTGGAGAGAAGAAAATAGCACAAAAAAAATGATCTCTGCCATCAAAGTCAGATAACCCTAAAGCCTGATTTAATCATGGTAACCACATTTAATCCTGTTCTCATTAACTGACCCCAAACCACGGAGGTTTCCAGTCTTTTCTAACCTTGGAGCTCAATTTATAACTATAAACTTTCGTCTTTACTGTTTGTGTACATATGATGGACACACCCTTACATATGCCAGTACTTTCTGATAATAAAGTTGATAGAGAATGACAAATCCTTTTATCAGATTAATACCACCATTTACTGGAAAACCTTAAGAGAGTAGCTAAAAGAATGGAAGTCTGCTAGCTACCTGGCAGCCTTCTAGACTCTCAAACTTGGGATTATGAACAGTTCCTGATTTCTGACTGCCTGGCCTTACATAAGATGCTTGTGGCCCAAATATTCAGGCAATGGCTGCAGGTAAGAAAGGCGAAGGTAATGTCCTCTACTCCCCCACCTTAACTGACTTATTAAGCAGTTAACTTAACAAAGTTATAGGATTTAAGGCAAAAACATTTTCTGGTTTTCTTCCTGTTTCCCCCGTATTCCCTGCAATTTAACACACAACTTCTCACATCAGAAGACCTGTCACAAAATAGATTTGCAATGCTCAGTTTAGCACAATGGTGGGAAAGAATGAAGCACTCCTCAGCTCTCAATGACTGTGTCATTCAGAGAAGTTGGCCATTCAGGGCACATATGTTTAGCTAAGATGACACAAGCCTTTCCAGTGCAAGTTATTACTATCATTGTGAGTACCTGGATGCAGTGACTATTCAAAAACATAGGGAATTCTTGGCATTCAGTGACTATTTTGGCCAAATGTGTCAAACCTAGAGAGCATAAAGTTTAGAGCCAGTCAAATCCAAATTCAAGAGCTGCTTCCACCCAATACAAGCTGGGTAACCTTGAGCAAGTCCATGATCTCTCTGGTTTCCGGTTTCTCATCTGTAAAATGGGGACAACAACCGCTGCTTCACTGGGTGGTTGTGAGGAGTAAAGGAGAGCATGCACTGAAAGAGCACAGCACAGTGCCTGGCAAACTGTGCCCTCAAATACAAATCTGTTGACTACATCTATTCTCTCCCTGTTCCCTGACCCAATTTCTTCTAAGTGGCAATGTATTTAGGAAAAACCTCACATTTCCCAACCTCCCTTGGAGCTAAGGGTGATCATGTGACTTAGATCTGGCCAATAAGATGTTAAGATATACACAGAAATTGCTGGGTGGGTCTTCTGGGAAAGTCTTTAAAAGAAGTCACACTTAACTGGCTTAGCTAACCCTTCCCTTCTTCCTGCCTGGAATTTAGACTGTATGCTGGACTACAAGGTGACACATATAATAAAAGCCACCCGCTTTTATAGCACCAGGGAACTACTATACCAGCCTAGACAAACCCAACTTGATTATGCCATTCTAAGTTAGGCTGTTCTGTTAGTAGCCACCAAACACAATCCCTAACTCTTAAAGGGGGGTAAACATCATTATCTGGGATTTGGTCCCTCCATTTTCAGCATATCACAGCAATGCTATGTGTCTGCTTAGAGCAAATTCTTGTTTCCTCCTGCAAGTGGGAAAAGCATTCACCTCAGTCTGGGGATACTTCTCTTATTGCTTTTCTTCACAAGAACTTGGAAGTTAACAGATCATACAAAGCACTAATTATTATTTTATTCTGCTTCTAAACCCTTCATCTCACCTGGAAATAAGAATATTTCCCTCTGTATTCATGCTACACACACACACACACACACACACACACACACACACACAAAATCTCACTCAGAGACTTGGATGGGAAGAGGAATGACAGCTTGTAGGGCCTTGGTTGGACTTTGGTCCAGTGGCAGACACAGCCCTTTTATCACAATTCCATTGGAAGATCTCTCCCTACTACCACACCTAAGTGACCCAACCAAGAGCCCAAGAACAAGGGCCAGGCCACTGATATTCTTACAGAGTCTGGTCCGAGCCAGGTCAGGTGGCAGAAGTCCTGCCCTGGGAAAAGAAACCAGCTCAGCCTGTATTGACGGATGCTGAGTCCTGAGCACTGACCCCAGTCTCAGGAGGACAGTGGGCTCAGTTAGAACTGACTATAGTCACACTCCATAGACTTGTACAAAAGGCTGAAGAGAAAGGGGCCCAAAGT